GGGGGGAGCCAAAGGTAGGAGGTTAGAGGGCGGGACCTTCTAGTCACAAGATAGAGACCAGGGGCACTGTCAGGGAGCAGGACTACCCATGTGGCCCCTGACAGCTTGCCAAAACTCAGTAAGAGGCCCTCTGCCCAAAATAATTGTCCGCCCCTAGTTTAGGAACTATTTCCATTAATGACCTTCTTACAAAAAGTAAAAGTGTACTAATTACACAAGGCAAATAATTAATAAAAAGGAAAAACAGAATATCAAAGGAAGAATTGGACAACTTTCTGGGCTGGACTACTATACTAATAAGAATTTCTGCTATATTCTAGGAGATAATCAATTGGAAACAAAAGGGGGAGAAAGACACAAGTGTGCTAGTTGATCATAGGATAACTGAACCACCAGCGTGAACACAACAAGCTAGATGTGATCCTAGGAGCATTCCATCAGGATAGGAAGCACAGAAAAAAATCTTGCTTGGCTAAACCATAAGCTCAATTATTTGAAACTTAAAAAGGAATCTTACCAAAAAAAGTGGAAGACAGGTCAAATTACTAAGGATGAATGAACATGATATGAGCAAATGACATGAAAGGCAAAAAAAAGATATGTGAGAAAAGAAAGATCAAATAAACCAAGTTTCTTCCTGAATGGGGAAAAGCAGCTAATAATGGATAACACAGAAAGCCAAAATGCCAAGAGACTTTTTCTACTTCAGCCTTCACCAAAAAAGGTCAACTATCAGATGACAAGAACAGGACAAAGACGGAATGCTTAGTACTTGGGAAATTTGTACATTTTTCTTAAAAAGGTTGGGGGAGGGAGTAGACCCAAGATGCAAGTCAGTCAGTCAGTCAGTCAAACTTAATGACAGTGTGTGTGTGTACAACTAAGCTATTTAGAAAGATACTGGCAGCACACCAAACAAATGACTTTTGCAAGCACCTAGAGCAGAGGGGTCAGCAGTGTGCTTCAGGAGCATCAAATCAAAATTACCCAGCTCAGTCCAAGTTAGGCCAGCCACCATCACTTC